TAAAATTAATGTGGAATTTTCATGTTAACAAATTAAGTCCATCAGATTAGCTCATGACAGGAAAGAATGTGTTTGTTTAATTTTTTTTTTTTAATTATATCCCGTGCTTTTGTGGAGACAATGTGGGAGCTAGATGCCTCCTAGCTAGTGGTTCTAGATCTTGTGCAGTCTGTTTTGTCTCTAAGCCCCTTGTTTTATCCAAAAGGTGGGGAAAAAGAAGAAGCGAAAAGAAATATTTGAACCCACTGGATGACGTAAGCCTGAAATTGCATGATGACACGAGATATATTTGTAATTAAGTTCGAATAGCTGCTTCATTTCCAAGTTGAAAAGCTGATGTCAACACCATATGCTATGTACTAATCTACCATCAATTTGTCTTCCCTCATTCGTCAATCATATTAAGTTCTAGAATCTAAATTATATGCGCCTTGACTGATAAACAGTCTTTTTTGAATCCCTGATTTGATTTCTTTTTTGCGATTAAATAATTATAATTACTCAAAATCAATAATATAATATTTGTTTATTTCAAGTATTCATGCCCTCCCAACACACCCACGATGAATGCCTGAAAGAATTCAACTAAATTCATCGTTTTTGCCTCAAAAGTTGCTTACATGCCAAGGCCACACCCTATTAAAGATGACATATATCAAGATATTGGGTTCATTTATTTAATATTAAAAATAAATGTATTTATATAGTTTAAATATTTTAAAAAAATATATTTATTTTATAGAAATTTTATAAAAAGAAGATATTATTTTATATTTGATTACAATAATAATAAAATAATTATTAGTTATTTATTTTTAAAATTTACATTATATTTTTTGATTTTTTATTTTATAAAAATAATTTATTGTTTAATTATTTTAAAATTTTTTATCTTTGCATATCTCATTTTTTAAAACATTCTTTTTCATTTATCATATTAGCTTATTTTCAGAAAATTTTCAAAAATAATTTCTTAAAATAGTCAAAAATATACTTTTTGCATATTCTGATTATTTTCAAAAAACTAAACAAACATAATTAAAACTCATAAAATAATTATTTTAAAAAAATTATGTGATTCTTTTATCAAAAAGTTGAAACAAACGGCCTAATATAAGATTTTGAGTTTAAATAAGTATGAAGAAAAAAAAAAGTCTTTTAAAAAATCTATTTTCAGTTAAACCTGACAACCTAACTAATCTGATAGTCATATTAAAATGAATAGTACTTGTTGTTTATATTCTCAAGAAAAGAGAACAGTCAATATTAATTATATGGCAGTGGGCAGAGTAGGGAGAGAAGAGCCTTTTCTCCCATAAATGGTTGGCACCATTGAAAACAACAAGAACGACAAATGGGTCTACTGGTCTAGAATGTACTAAATATATAGACAAAGCAGAAGCACACAATTCGCAGATCAACTTGCAAAAACGCAATTTTTTTGAAATAAATTATTAGTCTCATCAGGTTGGCCCCATTGATGCAACTTGCAGGCAGGTGCGGAAACACCTGTGATAAATTCCGAGAGTGACATTTGATGATTTTGATTTGGTGTACTCTTCCTTGTAGCTTTTCAGTTGCAGTAGTGATTTCTGTAGTTGATGAGTTTCTTTTGAATGTTGGTGAGCAAACAAACACGGAAACTTTGGCATGTGATCTTGCTGTTAGTGGCTCTCGTCATTCAATTAATGCCACTTTTGCTGCCTTTGGGAAGAATTCTGCAGATTCAAGTGTTGCTCTCAAAAATGATCCATGCCATGTGGTGTTGTGGCAGTTTTGCAGTACCTGCTCGTCACCGTTTTCACATGATAGGTATTTTATTTCTTTCTTTCATCGCCTCTACACATGGTGTGTTAAAGTTGAGAGCTAAATATTCCAGAAAAATCATATCAAGTATGAATCAATCATATAAAGTGAATCAAATATTACTCGACAAGGAATAAAAAAGAACAAGCAAGGCAATCTTATCTTTCTATTAACCAAAAACAGCCCATACTGCTTACGGTATTATTATTATTATTATTATGGACGTATACATTTTCTTATTAAAGAGAATATTATTTGAAGCATAATTGATACTGATACTTCTCAATTATAAAGAAGATTTAAATCTTGACTTGTCAATGTCGTGAGTGGCTGATTTTTAGTTTTAAAAAGTGTGCTCTGAAAAGCTTAATCGTATTACTGAATAAAAAGCACTCAATTCCATGATCTTCTTGTGCCTTGGAAAAAAAAAAATTCCAACAAAATGAGAATGGCAGGGAAAGAAGGGAAAGACTTTATGCTCCTAAATATAAAAGCGGAAGTGTTACAATATCATGAGATTAATTATAAATTTATAATGTTTGGTACCACAAGGCTTTGCAATTTTTGCATAAAGTATAAAAATAATTTATATAAATAATTATTGGTAAATAATATATATATGACTGGTTAAATTTTTGACAATGGATGAGGCTTGATTTGGTCTGAGCTGACGTCACTGAGGACATCAACTCAGCAAGGAATGGGCCGTGGTCAATAGTGGCGGTGTACAAGTGGACATGATTGTTTAGGCTATCTATCCATGACACCATACTCCAATGGCACTATACAATTTTTTTTCTCATGAATAATGAGAGAGGTTGACCGGTATTATAGTCTCCCTTCCCAAATTTAAATGCCAAAAATGGTGAAATGTTAGAGAATATTATCTCTACTTTTTTTTTTGGGTACTAGACCATTTGATATTTTGAAGTATCCTAGGTTTATTGTCCGCTCCAGACTAAATTTGAACCCTTATGTTGGAGACCTTATGATGGTTATGAGTACCAATGGGACAATTTCTTTGAAATGAAAAATGATTACCTACCCTTTGTTCTTGTATTTTGCCCACATAACACTGAAGGGCCCATTTAAAGAAAAAGGGGGAAAACTGATAATGCTAAAGAGGATTGGCTTCAAGTATTAAATGAAAGAACTTTTTTTAATAATAATTTAAATTTTAGTGAGAGATTAGTCTCGCTCAATACCCGTTGATTGCATATTAAAGGGGGTAAAAAAATCAAGAAGAAGGCAAACAAGTTAATGCATGATACTTCTGTCCAAAAAACAAACATGGTACATATCTTGTTTTGGTGAGTTGGGCCACTTCTCTTCTCACACTTTTTAGCTGACCTTGGGCTTTATATTCTGTGCAACTAGCCTAGTTTCAGAGTCCGCTACATACGGGGGCAAAAAAAAAAAAAAACAGAGAGAGAGAGAGAGAAATACTAAGAAGAAAAGTGTTCTCATTCCTTTCAAGTTTTTTTTGAACAAGGCATACTCGCCATTTCATATAAGGTACAATTTGAAATCTTTTGAGTGTTTAATACTATAAAACAAAGTTGGAGTAATTAATGATTTTTTTTTTAAATTTTATCCATTATTTATTTATTATCTTTTAAATTCAATGGATCTGAATAATAATTTATTATAGTTATTAATTGCAAAAAAGGATAAAATTACATATTTCTTAAAATAATTTTAAAGGTATGACTATCATTTCATGATAAATTCAATGTTGATTAATCACTGCTACATGGTTAAGGTTTGAACTTCAGACTTATAGTTAACCTAAACCAACTCCTAGTTAGTTGAGCAAGCCCTTGGTGGTGTGCAGGATAGATATTTTAACTATGACATGTTAAAATACGTGGCCGAGAAAAAAAAAGGACATGTCAAAATGTGATGGTCTGTCCCACAAACAAAACACACTAGCCAATCGAAATATTCTTGTCTTCGGAATCTATAAGAACCGGTCAGTTTATAGGATGGCGGTGTAATTTTATTTTTTGTTATACTCAACCAAATATAATATTTTGAATCTTTATTAATGTAATTAAATTTAAATATCATAGTTTGACTAATTTAAATCGAGTTGACTTTGATCTTATGAGCTTAAAATTTTTTAAACACAATTTTCCTTGTATCAGATTGAATCTCGCACAAAGGCACCGTTTTCTTTTTGTTGCCAAACATAAAGCGACAACTTGAAAATTGGAACCCATGTTTTAATTATTAGATAATTATTTAAACTTAAATTATAAATACATTACCGTATCACTACATATACATGGTAATTAACAACACATGGAACTGGTTTTTTCCTGATCACTGTGATGAGATATAAACTATTCAAATTTTAACCTGAATAGTTCAAATTTAGAGTATTATATATTTTTATTTTATATTTATTAAAAATTTATAAAATAATTTTTTATTTTTAATCTAATTTAGATTTAACATGAAGGATCTAATTTAATATTAAAATTTTTATAATTGTTATATATTGATTATACAAATATACTTTACATAGTCTAGATTTAATTTAGTGTTAATTTAGACTATATATAATATATCTGGATAATCGATATATATCAATTATAAAAATTTTATTATTAAATTAAATTCTTTAAATTAAATGTACACCATATTAAAAATAAAAAAATTATTAAAATTATTTTATAATTTTTTTAATAAATATCATATATAATAATACTTTAAATTTAAATTATTCAAATTAAAATATGAATGTTACAACTATCATTACAACGACGAGCACCAAGTCCAACAACACACAAAGTTTTGAGAGAATAACACTTAAATTTTTAACAAATTTTAAAAAGTAAATTAAAAATATCAATATAAATAATTATAATCAAGAATTTTTAATTTCTAATAAATATTTAAATATCAAATATAACTCTTAAATAATAAAAAATTATTTATAATTGTTTAAATTATTTTTTATAATTTAAAAATTTGGTGGATCCAACAATCTAACTAATTAATTTAATTTTTTAGTAGTTAATTATCATTCACCCATTCTTCCATAGCTTTTTAGTTATATCATATGCCGACAAAAAAGTTTCTTTTCTTAACTTATAAATAATGTAAATTGATTAAATGATTAATTGAGATTGAAATATTTAAAGGAGAAATGGACAAAAGAACAAATATAGCGGCAAACTTTCATTTCTAGTCACTTGGCCGGCCATCGAATTTGTTTCTCATTGATTAAACCGCTTCGCCGTGAATCTATTCCCTCTATCAGTGGCTTCTTTTTCTTCTTTCTAAGTCTTCAGTCCAGTGATCTCCTCACTTAGCTCGTTGTTCTTCATCCTGCATAATTGTCTCTTCCATAATCATGGAGGCACCGTTTCCCGCCATTTTTCTTCTCTTAGTCTTGACGTTCTGTTCCTTCGCATCAACGGCTCTGTCTTCCACCATAGGAGTTGACTCCATCTCCCGCCTTCTTGAAATTCAAGAAAGGGAGAGGGCTCCGCCTTCCGTCCAGGAAGCCGCTGCTCGTGGCGTTCTTCAGCGGTTGCTTCCTTCTCATTTATCCAGCTTCGACTTCCGAATTGTCTCCAAGGTTTTTGAATTTATATAATCTTGCATTTTAGATTAAGTGTGGAAAAATTTAACTTTCTTACTGCTTCAGTTGGTCCGCAGGTAGTTGTTCTATATTTCGTCTTTGCACTGACCTATCACCTATGGTTTTCTGTCAGTTTCCTTCTATACCGGTACATCAGTGATGACACTTACTTTCTCTGTCTTTTGAAAAAATTATCAACAGGAGCAATGTGGTGGCGGATATTGTTTCATGATCAGAAACCATCCTTCATTCAGAAGACCCGGGGATCCTGAAATTCTGTATGCTTTGGGTTTCTTCATTTACTTGCTTGTTTCAGAATGTCTTAGACTCACATTTAGGCTTCAATAGATGAGCTATATTTTTGCACTATTAGAACATATTTGAATAAGAGGAATGATGATATTTAATTCCAGATTTAACGAGAGAAAAGTTCGTAAGTTGTTATTTATTTCTCTAATGGTGAATTTTATCTGGTCAGGATAGCTTAACGGCAATTATAAATGTATTAGGTACTTAATCAGGTCGGAGTTTATGGCAAAGGGCCAGAAAATTTCCAGCTAGTAGCTACTTATTACTTGCCTTTCCGGCAAATTTGGGCCACATTTAAAACAGTGCTCTATATTAAATCAGCTTCAGTAGAATTGCGATACATGCTTATTAAAGCTATACACATTGAAATGGAAATCAAAGCTAAATTGGTTGTAGTTAGAATATGATCACAAGATTTTCAATTATCACCAGACTTGCTGGGACGACTGGAGTGGAGGCCGTCGCCGGTCTTCACTGGTATTTGAAGCATTGGTGTGGTTCACAAATATCTTGGGACAAAACTGGTGGTTCACAATTATTTTCTGTACCAAAAGCAGGATTGCTTCCACGTGTTCATGATACTGGAATTTCAGTTAAGAGGCCTATTCCTTGGAGCTATTACCAAAATGCCGTTACGTCTAGCTGTAAGCTACTTTCAAGTCACCATATGTTTTTTCTGGTGTATGTGGATTGAAATATTAGGGTTGGGTACCAGAAGATTATATTTGACCCGATTGTATTTTATATACTTTTGGAAGATTCTTGTGCTTGGTGGGACTGGAAAAGATGGGAAAAGGAAATTGATTGGATGGCCCTGCAGGGTGTAAATTTACCACTTTCATTCACAGGACAAGAGGCTATCTGGCAGAAAGTATTCCAGGTTCTTTTCTCTGTCTTAGGTCTTACATAACTTTTGGCATGGATTTGACGTTTTGACATCTCTGGGCTGTTTGGGGAAACTTAGGATTTGTTTTTAATGCTCAATATCACATTAAAAGACACTTGAAATGCCAATTTTGACTAATTTTTAATCAAAATAAAATTTAATAAACAAGCAGCACCATGAGAATGTTAATCACTTTGTTCAAAAAATTGAGTGTGAAAGAACGAGTTATATATCATAGTTTTATAATCTTAGATGTTGTACAGGTTCTTAAAACACCACCAAATTAGCAGACCTTGCTATGTCCAAGTGACTCTTTCTTTGGGGTGTTTCCGTTTAGATTTTATTAATTTTGATGCGAGCTTATACATCTTTTATGATGCTGGAGTCATGAGATAACTGGAATGACATAGCCAAAATGTCCTCCGACCTCCACGTCAATCTGTTTGGACATAGTTTTGGTAGCCGTTGCAATCTGATCACTAGAGAACATGTGTAGTTATCTCCTATCTGATAGTCTTACAGAATAAAGTACTTGTTTTGTTGCGGTTAGATGGTAATTTAGTTAACAGGTGCACTTCTTTTTAATGTACAATTCCTACTGTTTTACTGACTGGCAGTGTTTTCTATCTTTTTTTTTAATATCAGGCATGTTTATGTTTCTGACAAGTAAATATTCACGAGCTAGTAGTTCTGTATTCTTAAAGAATTTTATAGATGCTTAAACTGTATTTATTTTCCAGGAGAAATTCAACATGAGCAGTTCAGATTTGGATGATTTCTTTGGTGGTCCAGCATTTCTTTCTTGGTCACGTATGGCAAATTTGCATGGGTAACTGTTACAACTCATGGGCTTGTATTTTGACGGTTTCATATGTTTGCATTTCGGGTTAGCAAAATTAAGGTCGCATTGGTAATTATATTTGAATCCATGACTAATCACTCAAAACTTTAAGTGTTATTCGTAAAATTGCCTGTTCAGACCAAAGTTTCTTTCTTATTTCTACATTTTTGTTTTTCATGATTAATAGATATTAATGCCCAAGCTTTGAGAATACAGTTATTATCATCTTTGGTAATCACAGATGGGGTGGACCACTGCCTCAGAGCTGGTTGGATCAGCAGTTAATCCTACAGAAGAAAATTCTTGCCAGAATGTATGAACTTGGAATGACACCAGGTGCCAATTACTATTTTGGATCTCTCCTTAACTTTTGGTTTCTGGTAGCACCCAACCCAAATGTAGGTTCCCATGCTTACCACAGTGGTGTACACATTTTACGTTTATGCTGAGTTAGCCTATCTTATTATACTTGTTTAATGGGAAGTAACACTTGCATACTGAATTATTGATTCAGTCCTACCAGCCTTCTCAGGAAATGTCCCTGCTGCGCTCAAATATACATTCCCATCAGCAAAAATAACACGCTTGGGAAATTGGTAAGTAGTAGCATTGCTTAACTATAACCTGGAATTCTAGTTATCACCATTTTCATTTTACTGTTTTCTTTACATCCATAAACGCCCATCATATTGAATTCACAAAACATTCTCTTGTACGGTATAGGTTTTCTGTTAAGAGTGACCCTAGATGGTGCTGCACTTATCTTCTTGATGCAACCGATCCTTTGTTTACTGAGATTGGGAAAGTATTTGTTGAGCGACAATTACAAGGTAATGTACATGCATCTTCTTAACTATGTTGTCTGGCTTGTGACACAATGTAGATTGATACGAGTATCTATTCCCCAAAAAAAATTGAATACTGCTCTAAATTAACTATTATCTTTTTACATAGAGTATGGAACGACCAGCCACATCTACAACTGGTAAGTTTTTAATCACTCATCAATCACAAAATTATGCCCCCCTAAATCGTCATTGCCTAAACTTTCTTTCTTTTTTTTTTTGGCTCATGGAGATTCTAAAGAACGTGCTACCTTTTCTTCATTAGCATGGGATGCAGGTTTTCTAATTTACTTATTTATTTTTTGTTTGGGAGGTGGGGTGTATATAATTGGCCCCTCCCCATATAGTGGGTGTGCCCCTCCCCTCCCTGCAAGGGTATTATTTGGGACTACCTAACTTCCTTGGCTCATAATGCATAGTACTAAGTTCCCATGCTTGTTTGTATCCTATCATTGTGCTTATACTGCACTTTCTCTGATGTTATCAGTACCTTTTTCACTTTATCCTTGATTCTCAGAGTTCTAACAGGATTATGTAAAGCCTCGACAACTTTACAATTTTATGATTTGCTAACCTGAATCGTCTTTTACTCCTTTGTTCATCACCTTTTTTTGATTTTGATTTATAAAAGGAAAAATTCTGCTAACTTTAGATATATTGGAAAGAAATATCATCAATGCAAGATGATTGAATTGTATTTTGATTTTTATCAGGTGATTGACAGAAACGCATAATGATAGAAAGTTTTTGTCAACTCTAGATCTCGAGGCAAAAATGTAGTTATTACACTTCTGTAAAGGTCTGATAGAATGCATTATTGAAGCTTGAGCCCAAAATGGGCCACGGTTGATGCTGAAAATTTCTTTGCCATCAGTATCAGCCACAAAACTTCACAAAAAATTGCGTTGATTTTATGCATACGTTAAAAGATCCAATGCACATGAAGATGCAAGTCTTTAAATCTTCGGTTTATTTGATTGAGGTTCATAATTTATCTGTCTAGAAATGCACCATCACCTCATCGAAGAACTTTATATTGCGGTCTAGTGAAGAAATTTTCCCATTGAATTACATCAACTATGTTGCATTTATTACAGTGATACTTTCGATGAAAATACCCCACCCGTTGATGATCCAGAATACATCTCATCATTAGGTGCGGCAATCTTTAAAGGAATGGAGAGTGGTGATAGTGAGGCTGTGTGGCTGATGCAGGTATAGGAATTGCTTTGGGCCTTCTAATTTAACTTTTGATGCTGTTAATTGTCCTTAAGAATCCAATGTAATGCATGCTGAAAGATACATACAGTCCACTGAAACTCCAATTTCTTTTAATAGGGATGGCTATTTTCATATGATCCATTCTGGAGGCCTCCACAAATGAAGGTTATATCCATAAATTGTTTCCTCTGAACTATATTTTTTGTATTTAGAACAAGCCTTTTCCATCATTAAAGCTTGTATGAGAATTGGGTGTTTAGATCTTTTTTGGTGCCATCATGCAAAGAACTACATAGAGATGACCCCAGTGGTATTTTTAGCTATTTCAATTGACAATTTATGCTTTATGAGAATATTTTGCATATTGGCAACAGCCTACAAACTGTCATTGCAAACAACAATTATTCTTTTTGTTTTTTTTTAATTCTTTTGGTGCCTCCGTAGAATGATGTTCGGAATAATATTTATATGGACTTTTGACAAGATGCCTGTTTTAGTCAGTTGATTTCTTGATGGATTCTCTGATCATTTATTCTGAGTTGTAACTTCTATTTTTAAGTCATACGCAGTTTCACTTGGGTCGTGTTTATCTGTTTTGTTTTCTATAATTGCTTTCAGGCCCTTCTGCATTCTGTTCCTGTTGGAAAGTTGGTGGTTCTTGACTTGTTTGCCGAAGTAAAACCCATATGGATCACTTCAGAGCAATTTTACGGTGTTCCCTACATCTGGAAAGTCACTGGTCCCTAGTTCAGTCAAAGCAATATTAATGACATCTCTGTTGTTGGTTTCAACTTACAAAGTCACTGCCTCAATTTGTTGATTTGTTTTAAGTATTCTTATATTGTTTGATGACTTTCTCTGACCATCAAATCCTTCCTGGCACCTGGCTTAGGTTAGTTTGTGTCCAGCTGCTAAACCAGATATTCATATAAATGACTGCTTTGCAAAATTATGGTAATGTTATGTTATGGAAATGGAAAATTTTCTTGTGGACTGTCTTGGTGGATTTGTCCACAAATTGTTTGAAACCCATAAAAAAGTTGAGTCATCTATAAAAGGGATAGCTTAATGCATGAAACTCCCTCTATGCGTGGGTTTCAGCTAGGGCTGGACCCTTTTTGAGCCTATCGTATGCAGTCTTACCTTGTATTTTTGCATTCTTATGTTTGACAGGTGTATGCTGCATAACTTTGCAGGAAACATTGAGATGTATGGCATTTTAGATGCAATAGCATCTGGGCCTGTTGAAGCACTCAAAAGTGTGAACTCAACTATGGTAAGTTGTTTGTTTTCATCTCTGATGTAATTGCATATTAAGTAGCATCTCATCAATCTTACTAGTTTATGTAGCTTTATTACATTGTATCAAAGAACGAAATAGATTTATTAAGTTGTCTGCTTATCTTATCCTCTAACAGAATAGAAAAGAGAAAAAAATGTTATCAAACATTACAGCAATAAAAAGCTTTATCTCACTAGATAAAATCAACTACATAGATTGCATGATACCACTGTGTTCTATTGGTAATCAAATCTTTAGATATATTATTAATCAATGGGTCTCATTCAATAATTTCATCGAGTGTTCTTTTCGGTTTTCTTTTACCCTCTTCATAGAACTTTAGACTATTTGTTCCACCCTCCTCACCGATACCTCCAACAGTCTTCTTTGTATATGTCCAAACAATCTTAGACTATTTTCTTCTCGATAGATGTTCCACCAACTCTTCCTCATATGTGATCATTACAAATCTTGTATGCTCACACATCCATGCAAAATCCTCATCTTTGGTAGTCCAACTTTATGTTCTTGTTGTCTTTTTAAAGTACAACATTCACTACCATATAATGTAGCAAGTTTTATAGTAGTTTGATGAGACTTTTCTTTAAGCTTATTAGGTACTTTCTAATCACAAATCATTCCAGTAGGCTTTCTCCATTTGAACCACCTAGCTTGCATTATATTACAACATCCCTATCATCTTGTATTCTATCAAACATTAACTGCAGTTTTTCATGCATTTTTATGTTGGTTACCTAGGAAACTTGCAAGTTTTAAGTTGGATGACTATGCTTCTCTGTAGATGTGCATCAGTACAAATGCACGTCCTATCTGTAGATGTAATATATGTAATACTCCCTCTGTTTTTATTTATAAAATAAACTGCCACTTTTAGTTTTTTTTTTTTTGTATAAGTAAAATTACATTTTTCAGTAAGTATTTATTGCAAACTTCTTAAATTACTCTTCATAATTTTATCATTCATAATCATAAGAAACAATTAATGAAGGCTTGATTAATACAATCAATAAAGGGTATTGTACTCCACTTCTTTTGTTTTTAGACACAATTAATATTGTTAATTGATTTTCTTAAACTGTGTGATACAATATTTTTCTCCTGTATATAGAAACGAAGGGAGTATGTGTATATTTGCATTACTTTCCCCCTTTCTCTCTTTTCCAAGCAAGTCATTTGACAACTAACCTTACAGATTATTTTATTATATAAACCATACATTTATGATTGCATATTTGTGTTTTTCAAGGTTGGTGTTGGAATGTCAATGGAAGGCATAGAACAGAATCCCATTGTCTATGATCTGATGTCTGAAATGGCATTTCGGCATGAGAAACTTGATGTTAAGGTAATAATGAGGAAATCATGGTTACTAGTTTCTTGCATTTATTTCGTTTGCGGTTTTAAAGAGTCTGACTATCTTGTCAGGTTCTGTTCTATTTGCTCTGTTGATTGTGGCTTTAGCTAACTTCATTCTTGGGCTTCTTTTCATCATGACATGCTTCTCAACTCTGACCTATTTCTGATAACGCCTAATTTTTGCTTTTCTACTTCCTAGTATCTGTTCTTCAATTGCTAAATGAATTGCAACTTAAATAATGGGTTAGTTTGAGCACTTCCTTAATATGATATCTAGACAGATTATGCTCTTCGGAAGCATTTAGTCTGCCGTTGGGTCCCATTTATTGGTCCCATGATTGCCAGAGCTCTCGTATTTTACAGCTTTAAGTTATCTGCAGCTATAATATTGCCTGCACTCTCGTCTCCACTGAACTAGCTTCTAAAACCCATGCTTGCTTTGTTTTATCTATCTTTCTTGTTAAAATGCGGTATAGAAAACTCAATAAAATGATTTAAATTAAAAGTAGTCATTGTTTCTCTCTTTTCAGGCATGGGTTGATCGGTATTCCACAAGACGATATGGTCGACCTATTCCATTATTAAAAGATGCATGGAATATATTGTATCACACGATTTACAATTGCACAGATGGTGCCTATGTAAGTTCTTGTTTCAATCCTTTGATTTTCTTCAGATTAGTGGTTCCTTTAATATGCGCATTTACAGAAAAACAATTATTGCCTTGGCCAATCTCAATCTTACCTTTGACCCTTGATACGACCAATTATTTTGCCTAAACACAATTCAACCTTAACTGCACAGATTCATGCTCATTTCCATGTTCCATCTTTAATTAACTATTCAGAAAGAACAAGGAGTCTAGAACATATTTTAGTTGTTCCATAATATTTTGTTCTTTTTTGCGGGCAGGATAAAAACAGAGACATCATTGTAGCATTCCCAGATGTTGATCCTTCCTTAATTTCGGTACAGCGAGAATGGTCTTACCACCATGGCAACCCAGAATCAAGAATAGTCATCAACGAAGTTACTGACTCATATGATCGACCTCATTTATGGTATTCAACTTCTGAAGTAATTCGTTCACTGAAGCTTTTTATCTCAAGTGGAGATAAACTGTCAAGTAGTAGTACTTACTGGTAAGCAATTTTAGTAACATGTCTTTCTCTTGTAGAATCTCCACCACAGGTATTTATTACATGCTTCATTTTCCACAAACACACACACACACATTAGATATTCATGTTATTTCTTCTTCAATCAGGTACGACCTTGTTGACCTGACGAGACAAGCCTTGGCAAAATATGCAAATCAGTTGTTCTTGAAGATCATAGAGGCCTATCAATTACATGATGTCCATGGCGTGGCCTTCCACAGTCAGAAGTTTCTAGATCTGGTGGAAGATATGGACACACTGTTGGCCTGTCACGATGGATTTCTTCTGGGACCTTGGTTAGAAAGTGCAAAGCTACTGGCACAAAACGAACAGCAGGAGAAACAGGTGAATTTGATTTATCATACAATTGAAATTTTGTTATTGATTATTGATGTAATTTTAACATGTACAGTTTGAGTGGAATGCGCGAACACAAATCACTATGTGGTTTGACAACACTGAGGAAGAAGCCAGCCTTCTCCGTGACTATGGTATGATTTTCAATGCCTCGCTATATTTTTAAGCTCTGCCGCGTGTTGAGCCTTTAGTTAGAGGTTTACCTTTTTTTGCTTTTGTCCAAAGCACTCGCTCTACTTAGTAATCTACTATGAACCCTTCAGAAAAATAGGTAGAAAAGTTGTATGAACTTTTGGCATGATGATTAACACTCTATGTTTGCATTTAAATAGGAAACAAGTACTGGAGTGGGCTTCTACGTGATTATTATGGTCCCAGAGCAGCTATTTATTTTAAATATTTGATAGAAAGCTTAGAGATAGGCGAGGATTTCAAGCTTAAGGAATGGAGGAGGGAATGGATAAAGCTTACCAACGACTGGCAAAACCGTAGCAATATATTTTCAGTGAAAGGTACAGGAGATGCTTTAAACACTTCAAAGTGGCTCTTCAACAAATACTTGAGCAGTGCCGGGACGGAGCTTATTGCCCCTTATTGAAGGCAAGTCAACAAGCTATCATATTTATCTCCGTATGGCCATTATAAATTACAGGGTAATGTTATTATTAAATGTTCAAATCAGTTAAATTTATCTCTCGACGTTTTTTTTTTTTTCAGAAAAACTAAATTACAATCATGGTTAATGATTCAGGAAAAAGAATTCCTAAAAAGTCTCCAATATCTTCCTAAAGATATCATCGCGAGAGGGATAGAGAGCACAATGATAAGGAGGGCAACATTCCATAGGTTCAGCAAACTTCTGGGTTTTTTCTATCGTGTTAGGAGGAGGCTCTATTTATTAACTAAGTGGTGCAATGACAAATGAAACTCAGATTGTCAAGTAAAGTTGTAAAAGTAATGATTAATTGTATTGAAATCATTCTAATAATAACTCGTGTTAGTGCTTGTATAAACTCAAACAATGATGATTATTGAATCTTCAAGTCTTCTAATAATCGGATTGAACTTAACCACATTCATAGAGTCCCTTAACATATATAAATTAATTGTTAAGGCATCAAATAGTTGAATAGGAAAGATTAAATAAAGAGATATGACTAAACTTTCTTGGGAAAGATTTCATAAGAAAGCTTCAAATAGTTGGGGAAATATCCACTGCAATGACCTTATTCCATTTGTTTTGAAAGCTGTCCTTCATTATGAACATTTTACGGATGCAATGCAACCTCAAAGGCTATTATGGAGGAATGCCGTAAGTAACTTATCCGTCATCACAAGTCCCCCACTCTATGATCCAGTCAAATACTGGGGGCAACCAGGCAACCACCCCTGCCAAACCCGTTAGATCCATTGACGATGTCAAGTAAGAAAAAATTATTGGATAGTCAATAGTGCATTATCCTATTTATATTTTAACCAATATTAATAATTTAAACACCAAATTAATATTAATTGTTTACCTGTTCAATACATATAAATTTCTTTCTACATTTGCGCCATGTTTATTAAAAAAGTATAAATCACAATATTTATTTAACAAGTTAAGACATCCTCCTACTGTATATTAATAAAAATATAACAAATAGGTATTTTTAATAAAAAAACACCTATTTAATTAATTTTTTTAAAAAAATCTCTCCTATTTACAACTTCTTAAGATTTTTTAAATTCATGTTTTAAAATAGAAGTAAATTTAAAAAGTCATTCTGTTACTGAGAAAATCACTTTCAGCTTTTGTACAAGTGATCTAAATGTATAAAAGTTCTATAAAATCACAAATATAACAAATAGGTATTTTAGTAAAAAAATGTGAGATTTCATAGAATTTTATGATTTTATAAAATTTTTATGTTTGTAATTACTCGTGTGGAGTTGAAAGTAATTTTCCACAGAGCATTTTAACGATTTTTTTTTTTAATAAAAGCGATTGAACTATCCCTATGCAAGGACGGATGAGTACCCAAACCTTGTGGGACGCCATTCGACCAACGAACTTTGGCACCGTCCATAAAACACGAAAGGAAACACAACCCACGCACGTTGACGCCATGATCAGGATCCATTTTTGAACTTCGCGGCAAATCAATGGACGCTTGTTTGAACTTTTTTTAAAAAAAATAAAAAACCTCCAAAAATGACATCATTTTGGGGGATTTGATAGCAAAAAAAAAAAAAAAAAAGGTGATGGGTTGGCCGGGTTAGAGTTGCCTCAGGTTGGCGGAATTGTACTGGGTCAATCACATATTGGGTTAAGTGTAAAATTGAATCGACGAAGTGGCCACTTTATTGGTTGAATCGTTTTGCATTAAATCATTGTTATAGATTTTGGGATGAATAAACAAGAGGAACGAATGGTTTACTGAAAATCTTGTTTGTAGTTTTTTTAAAAACAATAATTATGCCTAATGGATTAGCTTGAATTCACCCAAAAAAATTAGGATTGAGCTTTATTGTATAGGTTTTTTAAAAAAGCTAAAATACTTTAAATTTGATTCAAATAAACACAGTTCAAATTAAGCCCGATCGCCAAAATTATTGGTTATATATGAATGTAGGGCTGGTAATATATGCCAAATGATCGAGCTTGATTATATAGGCTTTTTTAAAACCTATGATACTTTAATCTCGTTTCGAATAAACTTAGTCCAAATTAAGCCTGACTTGAACAAGCTTGCTTCATCCAAGTTATCGGTTCTAGTTGTTTTTTTTTTTAAGTTCTTGGTTTGAGGGAAAATTTATTTTTTAAGCCATGAAATTACAAAAATACCCTTTTTTAAAGGAAGCAATTGGTCAAATTTTTTCCCATCCCTCCTTCATTTGCGTCCCTTTGTCTTTAAATCCATCGTTCGCCTTTGAACACTGGGGGGGGGGGGACGAGAAAGAGTAGAAAAAAGATATATATTTTAACTTAAAATCTCAAAACTCAAGTTTATGAGTCATTCTTCTTTATTTTATATTAGTTATTAAACCCAACTTTATTTGATATGGAGTTTCCCACATCTACTTAAATTCACTCATACTTGAAAAACTTAACAATCTTTCCTTCAAGTGTGAGTCCATAAGATCTTTATATTAAAGATGCTTCAAACACCAAGTTCTTGTTTTTTAGGGCCAGTCTTGTTTTAGGTTTCAAATGTGTGAGTGACAATAAGTCCCTATTGTAGCCAAGGCCAGTCCCATTTTTAGGCTTCCAATATGTGTGCAATAATGAGCTTACAGGTCTGGACGAAACCAAGTTCTGATACTACTTATTAAGAATGAAAAGAGACTACTCATAAATGGGGGGAGAGGAGAAATGGGCAAAAATAAATAAATAATGCAATATCTTAATTTAAAATCTCAAGACTCAAATTTATAAATTATTTCTATTTATTTTATATTAGTTATTAAACTCAACTTTATTTAATATGAAATTTCTCACATATGCTTAAGCGCACTCACAATTGAATAATCTAGCACATTGTATAAATGATTTTGTTTAGATAGAAATCAGTTGTTGCAGTTTACTGTGAAGTGTGAACTGATACTCATTTTATCAAAGAGTGCATTTATTCTTTGAACTTTGAAGGAAGAAAAGCAATTTTTGAAAAGCAAAGTACTCAAGAGAGCTCAGTGAATGGTAAAACAATGATGAGGGGGTAGTATTATTAATTACTCGTGTGCTGGTGGGCTTAGATTGTTTCAAGTGATTGGGGCTGAGTATATTAATCCAATTCTGCAATTTTGCTAATCAGACAGATGTTTTGTACTTTATTCATACAGTGCATGCTTTACATGATGACAATGGTTTATTGCAAGGGCTATGTTGATTGATTGGCTTTGTGTTTTTAGAAGCTGTGAAATGTAATGAATGGTTCTTGTTACTGTCAAACGTTTATTTTAAAGATATTTGCCCCACAGTCATAAGAGGAAGGTTAACATTCTTGTTATACCAGCGTCAATTTTTGTTTTTGCTTTTTTTTTTTTTTTTGTCTAAGTAGGGGAGGGAGCTTAGTGAATCCTGAGGGAGGGATGATGTGATTTTTTTTTATGCTTCATGGATGGTTATTTGTTATATATATATATATATATTATTGATTAAATTATTATAGGAGACAATTATTTTTATAATGCAAATTGAAAATAAAATTAGAAAATTTTGAAAAATATATTTGGTTAATAATTCAAGGATCAAGATTGTATGTTCTATGATAACTTCTAGGACACATGCAAAATGATTGATGAAATGTTTGAGAAATAAAGTTAATGAAATTGGGTTGATAAAAAAGAGGCTAATGAAATCGGATGAAAATGATCATAACGCCAAATAAGTCATAGAAGAAGTTATTTATTTTCTACTATTAGACTTGGAAATTGTGAATATTGTTTAGATATAGTTTGAAGATTTATGGATTAAATTTACCTTGGCATTTTTATATGCGGAAGGTTAACGTTGTGATCTTTTCTATTCGTTTAAGTTTTCTTAGAAAGAAGACTTTTAGGTTTATAAAGGTTTTTTTTGTTTCCGGGGGAGGGGGGGGGGGAATAGTGTTACTTTGGACATTAGTGGATTAAAGATTAGCCATATTGCAAAAGTGACAATTAAAAGTAAATTATATATTTGGAAAGTTATTAGTAAGGTAACATTTCAAATTATCTTGTCAACAAATTTCTTTTTGCTGAAATATTAATTTTCTTAAATAGATCATTTGAATTATTTCAAGTGTTGAATATTTTGTTTACTAACTCCGCCTATGTTTATAGCCAGTCCCAAGCTCGGATAAAGGAGGAGGGTTGTGTTAGGCCATCAACAGTCAATGTAAAACTTTGTTGAATCTATCATGAACATGGACAATAGACGTTATAATGTTAATGCTAGGTCGTTGCCCGTAAGTAATGCGCTGAATGGCTCGAGTACAGTGATAAGTGAGTTAGAGCCGCTGCATCGACACCCGGATGTAGTGTTAAATGAGCAAGGGCTACCGTGTCATTCTGGACGCACGCGGCTAAAGAAGTTAGTCCATGAAAGCAAAATTAGATTTAGTACTTGAAATGTTGGGACATTAAATTGTAAATCTGTAGAGGTTGTAGGGATTATGATTCAAAGGAAAATCAATATCCTTTGCCTGCAAGAAACAAAATGGCGTGGAGAAGAAACTAAGGATATTCAAGGTTTCAAACTTTGGTATACAGGAAAAGTAAGTGCACGCAATGGAGTAGGCATCATTATAGATAAAGAGTGAAAGAAGAACGTTGTAGAAGTTAGCAGAATTGGAGACAGAATTATTTCCTTAAAAATGATAATTGGACGCAAGACTGTTAATATTGTTAGCGCTTATGCGCCGCAAGTCGGGACAGAAGCCAGTCTTAAGGAATTATTTTGGGAGGATCTAGAGGGGTTGATTCGACATATACCACAGAGTGAAAAGATTTTTATTGGAGGAGACTTTAATAGGCATGTCAGGAGGGAAGCTGGTCAGTATGTGAGGGTGCACGGTGGTTTTAGTTTTGGAGAGCTAAACAATGAAGGACAAACTCTTCTTGATTTCTCATTGGTGTATGATTTTAAGATTGCCAACACTTGTTTCAAGAAGAGAGATGAGCATCTCATCACTTACAAAAGTGGAGCCTCAAGGTCACAGATTGATTTTCTTTTGGTTAGGAACACAGATAGAAGACTTTGTGTAAAAATTGCAAGGTGATCCCCAGAGATGCTATAACGACACAACATAGGGTCCTAGTCCTTGATGTGTTTATTATGAGTAAAATCCAAAAACGTCGACAAGTAATAGCACCAAGGATTAGGTGGTGGCAATTAAAAGGTGAGAAACAAGATATTTTCAAGCGAAATCTTTTGGATAAAGGAATTTGGGAATCTCAGGGAAGTGCTAACATCATATGGGAGAATATGGCTAAAAAGATATGGGAGGTTGCAAAAGTAGTTTTGGGAGAATCAAAAGGTTCTGATCCGAGAGATAAGGAGTCTTGGTGGTGGAATAATAGTGTACAGGACAAA